TAAAATCAACAAGAGAAATTATTTCAAGAAAAAAAAAGATATTAAAAGTCTTCTTATAGCCAAAAGCATAAAATTAAAAAAAAAATATAGCTTAGAATTTAATAGGTTAAATTAAAATATTCTTCAAGCTCTATTCAATTTCATGGCTATAATTCGAATTAACAAAAATGGAAGTCAAACTTTATATAAGACACACTTAAACATTTTTAAATTGTAGATTGGGAAATTTTTGTCAGACAATTTGAAAAAAGCTTTATTCAAATAGAGATTGTTTCAATTATTTTAGTACAGTTTTTAATCTATAAAAAATGCATCTACAGTTTGATCAACACTTTATTGTATAATAAAAAGTATATTTTATTAATTTTAATCAAGATTTTCATTAAACTAATTTGAAGTTCTCCAAATTTTTCTTCTTCTAATTGTTGTATTAAAAAAAATCGATTTAAATTTATGATTTAAAAAGTTATTAAATAACATAATTAAATCTATTTATAACAATATAAAGAATTGTAACTTAGCTAAAGGATTTTTTATGCACACCCCAGTTAGTATATTTACTTTTTCTGTTATAGGTAATTGTAGCCTCTTAAATTTTTCATTCTCAATCTTTAAATAAGTAGAATCTTAAACTTTTATTTAAAAGATTATCATTTAAACTATATCATAAGGCAAATACTGAAATTGTGGATATATATATATTTTTTCATGATATTATGTATTTTTAATTTGATTATTTTGGAACTTCTATTTAGATTTCCAAAATACAACTTCCTTTAGATTTAAATAATTATCGTAAATCTATACCTTAATTATTGAAAAATTCCCCTTTCAAGATTAGAGTACCTTATGCTTAAAATATGGGCTATTAGGATATAAGTAGAGAAGAAATAATATTGGAGACTAAAAATATTGGAAAAAATAAACCTTATGAAAGATAATTATTTTTAAACATGGTGGTCTTAAATTTTGTGAGAATATCTTCATAACGTTTATCTGTAAGTAAAATTTAATCCTCCTTCTTAATATCCCATAATCGGATAGATTTATCAATACTACTAGATGCTAAAGTAGTACCATTAGGAGAAAAGCATACTGATAGGACCGAACCATCATGACCATCCAATTTGGCCTTTTATAATCCTGTCTTAACATCCCATAAGCGGATAGATTTATCATCACTTCCAGATGTTAATGTAGTACCATCTGGAGAGAAGCATACTGAATTGACTGAGCAACTATGACCATCCAATTAGGCCATTTATTATCCTGTCTTAACATCCCATAAGCGGATAGATTTATCCTAACTACAAGAGGCTAATGTAGTACTATCAGGGGTGAAGCATATTGAATAGATATAATGAGTATGACCATTTAACTTGCCCTTTTATTCTCCTGTATTAGCATCCCATAAACGGATAGACTTATCTCTACTACCAGATGCTAATGTAGAACCGTCAGGAGAAAAACATAATGAACAGACGGTTCCACTATGTCCATGTAATTTGGCATTTTATTGTCCTGTCATAACATCCCATAAGCTAATAACCTTATCTTCACTACCAGATACTAATGTAGAACCATCAGGAGAAAAGCATAATGAGGAGATAGATCCACTAAGACCATCTAATTTGGCATTTTATTATCTAGTTTTAACATCCCATAAACGGATTGACTTATCTCTGCTACCAGATGCTAATATAGAACCATCAGGAGAAAAGCATACTGAGGAGACAGTTCCACTATGACCATCTATTTTACCCTTTTTTTATCCTGTCTTAACATCCCAAAAGCTGATAGCCTTATCTTCACTACCAGATACTAATGTAGAACCATCAGGAGAAAAGCATACTGAACAGACAGTTCCACTATGACCATCTAATTTGGCATTTTATTATCCTGTCATAACATCCCATAAATAGATAGACTAATCACCACCACCAGATGATAATATAGTACCCTTCGGAGAGAAACAGACTGATTAGACAGGCCCTCTATGACCATCTATTTTCCCCTTTGATTATCCTTTCTCGGTATCCCATAAACGGATAGAGTTATCTTTACTACCAGAGGCTAATGTAGAGCCATCTGGAGAGATGCATAATGAAAACACCCAATTACTATGACCATCTAATTTAGCCTTTTATTATCTTGTCTTAACATCCCATAAACGAATAGACTTATCTTCACTTCCAGATGCTAATGTAGAACCATCTGGAGAAAAGCATACTGAGCAGACAATTCCATTATGGCCATCTAATTTGGCATTTTATTATCCTTTCTCAACATCCCATAAACGGATAGATTTATCTTTACTACCAGAGGCTAATGTTTTACCATCTGGAGAGAAGCAGACGGAATAAACCCAACTACTATGACCATCGAATTTAGTTTATTATTATCCTGACTTAACATCCCATAAAAGAATAGATTTATCATTGCTACAAGATGCTAGTATTGTGCCATTAGGAGAGAAACAAACTGACCAAACACTATTACTATGACCATTTAATTTAGCTTTTTTTTTTTTTGTCTTGACATCCCATAAGCGGATAGATTTATCTTTACTGCAAGAGGCTAATGTAGTGCCATCTGGAGAGAAGCATACTGAATAGACATGATTAGTATGACCATTCAATTTGCCCTTTTCTTATCCTGTCTTAAAATCCCATAAACGTATAGACATATCTTCACTACCAGATGCTAATGTAAAGCCATCTGGAGAAAAACATACTGAATTGACTTACCAAGTATGACCATCTAATTTATTTATCTCATGTATTTAAATATTCCTCCATTTACAGTTAAAGAGTTATGCTCCATTCAAATTCATACCACTTATGTCTACATTCTCAAATTACGATTCACTCAAATTACATCTCGCAAAATTAGCTCCAATCAAAGATGTATTCTTAATTCTCATCTTTTCAAAGGTTTATTCTTTCAAATCAACCTTCATTTCTACTAATAAATTCAGTGAATTTGATCCCAGTTGTATTAATTAATCATCTTAGGCTGTGAGGTGAATTAAGAATTTAAGAAATTCTATTATCTACTTTTAATCTTTTATTCTTTTTATAAGATACTGTCTCTATTTCGAAAATTCTTTAGAGGAATAGTCTTATTTATTAAAGTGATGATCCTTTATTTTTTTAATAGCATCTGTAATTTGTATTATGTTATTTCTAACAATATAACACTTCTTTTCCTTCTCAATTTATGTTTAATTCTAACCTTATAAGATATATTTTTCAAAATGTCTTTGATTTCCATTATCTGAAAGAAATCCTAAACAGTCTTAAATATTCTCCATTCTAAAAATTTAAGTTATCAAACAGTATATTTGTTCATCAACATCTTTAACTTAAGTTAAAATCTCAAAGAGCTCTTCTTTTTCTTCATCAGTGTTATTCATATCTCCTATTTAAAAATTATTGAATTTTATTGCTTTAATTTAAATTTTATACTACAAATTGAAAATTATCTTAAATAGTAATCTTCAGAAGAAACCCAAAATTTTAGATGTATTTATTTGCTCTATAATCAGCAGTGAGTTATCATATCAACCTTTGAAAGGTTTTTCATTAAATATATAGAATACTAATTTTACTTTGATAATTTGAATTATTAATAATTAATTTTATATAAAAATTTAATACTATAATTGTTAATATTCATATTTTCCTAGTTGATTAGATAGAGTAATCAGTAGGAATTATAGTTTTTCATCTAAATATTAACAGGAAGGAATGAATATGATTATATTTGGCTCTTTACAATATTTTTGATTCTCAATAGATAATCTTACAAAAAAACAAATATGTATATCATATAAAAAAACTGATGATTGATGATTAGAAATAAAAATGTAGCAAATTGATAAAATAAATTTAAGAAAATACATTTTTAATATAATTAATTAGAGATATAAAACCTTGCAAGTTGATCCAAAACATTTCAATTAATTATATACTAAAGGTAAGATTTTTTGTTATAATTTTATAGCTGAAAATCTAATTTTAATAAGTTATCTCCTTATTATAAGAATGCTTGACCAAAATAACCAAACCTTTTTTGGGTATATAAAGCTCTGCAGATTGATTCAAAACATTATAATCTATATTTACTTAAGGTATCATTCCATTTTAGTTCATTAGCTTCTAGTTAAATTTATATTTAAAATTACAACTTATATATGAGGCCTTGGTTAATATAATGAGGCAATTATTTGGGCAGACAAAGCTCTATAAATTGATTCAAAGAAATGCAATCCATTATACTAATTATTTTTAATAAAGTTCTTAAAAGATTAGAATTAATACTTAGAAGCTTTGATGCGTTATGATGATGGATTAAAGATAAACGAAAATCATTAGTGGACCAAAGATAGGAAGAGTAATATGATATTATTAACATTAAGATGAATGACTTGAAGCCTTGAAAAAGAAATGATAGTGAATAATTTATAAAAAGACTTTAATATTATTTATTATATTTTCTTAACATTAATTAAAAATAGAAAATTATTATTTTTTATCAAAACATTAGATTATAATAAGAGTGATTATAGGCGTCATTAATATTACAAATAATATTTCTTTTCTTAAGTTCTGATTTATTAGTTATATGTGAGTAAAAATATCAATTAAAATTGAGGATAAGATGTTAGGGTTTATAAATTGACTTTGAAAAAATATTGATCTCAAATGGGTAATGATGGTAAAATAATTAATAAAGGTTCAACTACATAAATAGGTTTGGTAATTATATCTTATGTTTATTTGTATTTAATCACTTGTCTTTTGTAATTTATGATAAGAAAGACTGGTTCTTCAAGTAGAGGAAAAACCTCTTGAAAGATACAGAATAAATAAGACCTTATTAAAGTTATTTAGTTTCTTTGAAGTTATATATAAAAACTTTAACAATGGTAGTTTAGGAACAAAATTAGTAAGAAATTTATAAAGTAAGTGAATTTTCTTAAACAAAAAATAAGTTTCTGAATAACTTATTATTTATTTAAAACAGTTTATTTTTTAAGATATCTAATTTTTAATTAAGTTTTTAACAATTACTTTTGTTGATTGTTTCTTATATTTATTTTTAATTACTATTTTATTTTCATTCAAAAAATTTAATTGAATATTGAAATGCATCTAATAAAAATTATTCTAAATATGTAGCATTCATCTTTTGAGCTTATCTATTAACAATTGATATTAAATAATAATTATAAATGAAATCATTCTTAATTTGGACTTTGAGCCCTTAAAAAACAATTTGGAATTTTATTCCTAAATTATTCAAATATTTATTCATTAAGTTAGAAACCATCAATAATATATTAAACCTTCGTAAGATTAAGGTAAATACTTGAAATATCAGTAATATACAACAATGCTTTAAACAATTTAATATTGTCCAAAATAGAGGTTTTTATTTTGAATCCATAATTTATCCTCACACAAAAATGTAACATTATGAAAATAATAAAAAAAAAATTGAAAAAGAAATTTAATGATCCAAATAAAATCATTACCTAAATACAGAAAATAGTTTAGAAATAACTAAAAAGATGTATGGGTCGAATCTATTTGTTGGTAAATTATAAAAAATAATAAACATGTCAATGTTAATATTAAAAAAATTAATTTATTTTAATTCTTCATCTTATAACACCGACTTTTGGTGTATGAATTTAAGTGACATCTATTCCTTCTTAATTAAGAAGTTGCCTAAGCAAATCAAATAATCGAAAATTGTTGTATTCTTCTTTCAGTTTCCATTTCTACTCTTTTTCTCCCATTAGCAAAAATGGTCCCTTGCCATACTTGCATCCAGTACTTGATGCGACATTGAGTAATCCCTTTAAATTATGAATTCTATTTATAGTGGTTTGTGAGCTGATAATGAGTTATTGTCTTAGTCATTTTTAAATTCTGTTTTTCTTTGATAAACCTGATGTGTATGAATTAAAAATAAATTTTGAAACCAAAATTAGATATTTTGTTCTTATATTAATTTCTATAATTCTTGTCTCCTACTAATGAGCTCCGATTTGATAGAATATTGGTTTAATGTTCTGGGTTTTGAGATTAGATCTGCTCTGACAATTTAGTTAGAAACCAATTATTATGATAGGGATGGATGCTGCAGGAAAAACGAATCATTTTATACAAATTAAAATTAGGAACAATTGAAACCCTAATTCCAACGATAGGATTAAATTTAGAAACAATATAAAGTAAAAATTTTGACATAATTTATTGGGATATTAGAGGAGCAGATAAATAAAGAATTCTTTGTAAATCTTACTTGAAGAATAGTAAAGGAATAATTTATACTTTTGATTGTTCTGAAAAAGAAAGGAAGGCAAGAGCAATATTTGAATTACATCAAATGTTGCTTGATCCTTTACTTATTGTATAACCCCTTTTGATATATGCAAATAAATAAGACCTAGTAAAAATGAACTCAGAAGAATAGGCTGCTGAATTGAGGATAGAAAAAATTTCTAAAAATTGACATATTTAACCATTTTGTGCAAATACTGGAGAAGAACTTTAAGAAGCCCTGAAATGGATTAAAGAATAGCTTTAGTTGAAATGAAATATAAATTAGTGTTTTATTCATTTTTGAATTCTTTCTTAAATTATATTGACAGATTTAAATTTGTATATAACATCCTAATCGTGATTTTTTATAAAACAATCGTATAATATATTCTTTGAGAATTTTAGTAATTTTTAAATTACAATTAATCTAAACTATATGGTAGTATCAATGGCAATTATTGTTTCATTAAATGGTCTATCAATTCAAAAAGGATGGCCATCATAATAAAAAATATTGACTGTCTTTTATTTACTTAGATCGATTCTAATTTATGGATTAATAAAAATTTTTGATCAATTTATAACTTATTCAATAAGATGAAGACATAAAAAAGTAAATATGTAGTAAAATTAAACTTTACTAAGACTAACTATAAAAATATATAAATTAATAAATGAATTTTTTTATAATAATAATATTATACTGTGAGGATGTTTCCAAAAGCAAGGCTTTTGGAAACAATTAATTAGAAATTACTCGGAGTATTCACTAATAATTATAATAATATATAGTGAAAATTAAGTATATAAATGTGGAAAATATATCAATGATTTAAGAAATAAAAATGGAAGTATAAATATGATAATAAAATAATTTATGTATTGTTATGATTTAAATTAGAGGTGGAGTAGTTTACAATAAGTAAGGTTAGAAGATAGGTAAATGGGTTGAACTGGATGACGAATTTTAGAAGTATATAGTTAATTAAGATTTTTTGTAGCCAAAGTCAAGTAACTTATAGTGGCTAATATATGAATGGGTAAAAAGTTGGTTTATGGGATACCATTTATAAAAGGATGGATTAATTGGATAGGATGTAATTGTTCATTTTGATAAAGCATTAAAATAGAGGGGGAAGGTCATATGTGTATAAAAAGGAGGGATTTGATTTAAATTTTAAGAAAGTTGGGATATGGATAGAATTGACAGATGGATTTTTGGGGTATTAATGTCAAGCAATTGTTACATTATTAGTAAAAGTTGGGTGATTTAATGTGGTGAATATAAAAATTGTCGAAAAATTGATAAATGGGTTAATTTTTGGAGGAAAAATTAATATCAATAATTTAAATAAATGTAACAAAAAGAATATTTATATTTCTAGAATTCCAAATAGTAGTGACGGCTCTTATGATGACAAACCAGAAGATTAAGATACTCAAGTTTCAATTAAAATTGGATAGAATTTAGAAATTGTCAAGAGTATTTTTATTATGATTATGTAATTAGCGATTGTTTAGTTCTGTTAATATAATAGAGGTAAATAAGTTGATAGATGGGATGCGCTTTTTTAAGATGAATAGATGTATAATAAAAATTAAACTTTAATTATTTAAAAAATGCCAAATAAAAATAGAGGCGAAGGATCTTATGATGACAAACTAGGAAATGAAATTAAGTTTGGAAATCGGATAGAATTTAGTGAAGGATTTTAAATGTATTTTTTTTTGGTTGATTTTATATATTTTTAGAGATAGGGAAGTCACTTATAATGGGGAATATTAAAATGAAAGTAGAATTGGTAAGGGATACTTTCTATTAAGACGAATAGATGTAAAATAAATTATATAAAATATTTATTTAACTCAAAAATTAGAAATAAAAACAGTGGGGGTGAATCTTATGATAAAGAATAAAGATCGGATAATATTATAAGTCAAATAAAATCGGGAAATGGATTGAGTTGAGTCCTGACTTTAATAGGTTTTTATATTTTGCAATAATAATATACATTATCAGTTAAATCACTTTTAAAAAAAAATTATGTTTAATGAAAATAATTCGGCTGCGCGAAGCCAGACGTTAGTTGAATAAAGGTTGAAGGGTGCAAATTTATAGTATAAAATTGAAACTAGGAGGGGCCTTGAAAGAGTGGGTATGCCTAGGCTTCTTGAACAGCTACGAAGGAGGTATCTACCTTTTGTTTAAAAATATAACGTCTGGTCAATCGTCAGTATATCAGCGATCTGATCCCAGAAACCTCCCTACAGTTTTAGGCTGACTGGAGGCGGAGGATTGCCCTTTGCCAGCTAGAGCCCTAACCTTTCCCAAGTCTAGCTTCCCTGTGCAATGGATTGGAAAGACAATATTTGTTGTTCTAGAACCTTCTTTTTCGAGAATTTTTATTACAATTTAATAAAAATTTAATACGTCATTAATGATGCGAATTGTTCGTTGAACGCTATCAAAGTCACAGATACTTTCAACTAAGAATGATTTCAATGATATAATTCTAGCACATTATTCATATTATTATTATTATCACTTTTAAAGCTGAATATAAAAATGGTTAAAAGTTGATAATTAGATTACGTTGTGGAGAAAAAATAAATATAAAAGATTTAAATAGATGTATTAATAGAATGGTGACTTATTTTATTATTAAAAAAAAACTTAGAGGTGGAGGATTATAAGATGATAATAGAATTTATGGATTATTGAATTCAAATAAGATAGGAAGGTGGATTGAATTAAATCATGAATATTGTAAGTATATGACTATTATTAATTATTAAAGGTAATAAAATAAAGTATGAAGGTGATTTTAACAATGGTAAAAAAATTGGGAAATGGAAAACTTTTTTTTGAAAAAGTTCTAATTTAAAAATAGATTATAATTGATATATAATTTTTGAAAACGAAAATAGTGGCGGAGGATAATATTCTGACAATTCACACGATTTTTAAGGTTCAATTAAAATTTGCAAATGGATTGAATTGAAATATAAGTTTGAGAATGGATATGGAGACCAGTAGGTAAATTTTGTTGGTGATTCTAAAAATGGGAAAAAAGTTGGCGCTTTGAATGAGATGATTTTTGACTAAAATTAAAGGTAGGGAGAATAAAAAAATGTAATTATTTTCTTAAACCATACCTTAAGTAAGGAAGTTTAATATGATTATTGAGAAACAGAATAAAAATATGACTCTTATTTTTATAAAGAAATAAGATAATAGTAAAAATTTATTAAATTCTTTTTATAAATTTATAAATTAATAATTTTAAATTCTATGTTAGTTATTTATAAAATTAAAGCATATTAAATATAGGCTACATTAAGTATTTTCAGTTATCTTTCTCTTCAATTTTACTTATCCTTAAATAAATTATGATGTAAACTTACTGTATTTATAGCTGTTTAACTTAAAGCAAATTTTAATTAAAATTCAAGAAGATATCAAAAAACATTATGATGTTTTTTGTAGATTGATAAATTTTAATTGGATTAGTATTAAAGTGTAAACTAAATCTCAAAAATCTCTTTAGTAACCAGATATTTTTATTGAAATAATAACTTAACATATTACATAACTAAGCAACTTATAATTTATATATTACTCAATTCATAAAAATATCTTATTTAAAAAATATCTTCTTCAATTAGTAATATTTATTTATTACTATAATTAAAATTAAACTAAATTAAATTTTATTGCAATAAATTTGAAAACTAAGAAATGTCGAGATTAAATAAAAAATAAAAAATTATAATTAAATTTTATTCTGTTAATTTTATTAGATCTTAGGGACTTTTTAAAATATTTAAAATAATTAATAATTTTTAGTGAATGAGCGATTAAGAAAGGAATGCGAGTTTTATAAAAGAGAAAATTTTTAATACCAGTCGTTAACTGATGAAACAAAAGAGGCTCTAAAAAGTTCTGTTTTTAACTTTGCTTAAGAAAATGTAGTGCTAGAAAAAATTAAAGAAAATGTTACTAATATTAATTCAGATGTTCTTAATATTTCATACTATAGACTAAATCGATGTCGAAAATTATTGACACATAAAAATAAAATAAAATATTTTAGATAATGATCGAATCAATATACTTTTTCTGGTGCTTGAATCAGAATTTGTTGAAATAATTGATTTAAGATTTTGGGCATTGGCAAACATTTCAGGAGATAATTTATAATTTAGAGATATAATTTATTATAGATTCTTAATATTTTTAAATCATTTAACAATCTGAAAACAAATAATTATAATCCCTGCTTTGAGAATCAAAGGAAATATTTTAACTGGTAATGAGACATAATCAGATCATATTTTAAAGTCTGGAGTGTTATCAAAATTAGAAATATAACTTTAACATAAAAATAAAGCAGTTCGAAGAGAAGTTATGTAAGGTATGTTGGTCTGTGTCGAATATTGCAGCCGTGGTGCAAATTTAGTAAAAAAAATTTATCAGAAATGAATCACTTTTAAAGTCCCTATTTAAATTATAAGAATAAGATATTCTAGAAATGAAAAAAATAAATAGCTTTTTTTCTGGATAATTCTGCTATTTATGCAGACTTAGATGATTTATGTCATCTTATTATTTCACATGAATTTATTTTAAAATTATCTAACATTTTGAATGATAAAACAATTATTTAAGTAAGTCTTTGGGGGATTTTAGAATTTATAAAAAGAGGTCATAATTACATATATTTAGTTCAGTATGATGAAAAATTTTAAATATCAAAAAAATTGATTGAAGATTCGAAAATTATTGAAAAGTACAATAATTTTAAATTCATTTATCTAAAGAATGAGAATGCTTATAAAATATAAGAAATTTTATGTCTTGATCAAGACATCGAAGATATTTGAGAATATATATATAATTATCTTAAAAATTTTATAAATGTTTCTAAATTAGTTTATAATATATACTAAAAATATATTATTAAAATATTATTAATGTTATTAAACATTTAAAATTCATATGATATAAATAAATTGAATGTCACAATAAGAAATTTCTTTTCCATGCCATTCTATTTCAATTTACTTTAAAAATAATGTAAAATGTTAAATACTATTAAATATTATTTAAGGCTTATTATTGATTAATAAATTGTAATATAAAAAGTAAGAAAATACTTTAATTATTTCTATATAATCTCACTTTTCTCTTTCCATCAAAGCTAAATTAACTTTTGGTATCATTAATTCAAGAATACTGTTTGAAGAGTCAAATTATTTATTAATTCTCTTTAAATTTAATCAGAAATAATTTGAAAACATTAATTAGATGTTGGCAATCTTTATTTTAGTGGGGAAATTAAAGATAATTATTACTATGAACTATAAATGATTAATAATTCTTCAATTTAAAAATTCTTTAATAGAATTTATATCATTTCTTCTAAAACCTAAATCATAAGCCAAATTTGATATACCCATTTGATTTTTCATTTAAAACCCTACCTATATTTATTTCATAAATTATCTTCCAATCCTTCTTCAAAAGAGTTAATAATTAATTATACTCTGAAAATCAAATTTTATCAATCTATATAAGATTTGAATTATATCAATTATCTGTTCAGGTCATTTAAAAGCTATATGACTAATTTCAAATCACAGATGGTAATCCTTCAATCATTAATTTAACTTTTAAACAATTTTAGGAGTTTTATAGAATGATTTTTTTTTTTATAAGTATATCTTGGTAATTAATCAAATAAACCCAAGAAATAAAAAATTTACTAATTTTGAATGAACATCAAACTATTATATCATTTCCATAAATTCAATATATTTGCTGTTTGAAACTTAGATTGTCTTAATTAGCATTGAATTGGCTGACAAATAGAAATCACGATTTTCTAACTAAATTAAACTATTATTATAATACCTCTTTAAAGCTAATTCCAAATTTAAGATCTTGTAAAAGTATATGTTGTTATTTAAATTAGTATATTTGATAAGCAGACTACATTTCATTCAAAGAAAATTTCAAATCTTGTTAAAAACAATACAAATTTGTTGGTATAATGATTAGTTGTTCTTAGCTCATACGGTTTTAACATGAAATAAAATTTCCGATCCTAATTAATCATAATAGTATTCTTAAAGTCCTCAAAGCTTCTAAGACACTGATAAGTATAGTTTTGTATTTTCATTATTTAATAAAGGATATATAAATGAAATTTCATTCTACTATCTAATTCTGGATAATCCACAATTTTGTTATTAATTCAAAGTTTTTTAAATAAAATATTAACATAATTAATTATATTATTTTGGTATTTTAATAAAAATTAGAATTTATCCAACTGAAATGTTAAAAGAATTCATTTGAAATAAGTGAATTGATAAATATGAATTAGTTAATTCCTTAGCTGCATTTGCTTGGATTACCCTTACTAATCTGAAATAATAAAGAAATATCAATATATATTCTTTATATTATGTTCTTTAATTTTCTTTCAATTAAAATTTAATATTTACAATCTCAGAAGTTACTTCTCACACAATATATTTTATTTTTAATTATTTTTTACGATTTTAATGCTTAAAAATCGCTTAATTATTAATATCTATAAATTTTTAAATGAAAAGTTAAATGGGACAATCAAAATCTAAAAGATTTAATAACAGTCTAAATGGTAGGATAATTAAATATATAAATATATTAAAAATTAAAGTTAATAGTTTGATATTTTAGTTAAATTATGTTAAGATTAATGATAAAAAGAAAATATGTTAACAAAAAAAAGTTAAATAGCCACGATTTTAATCCAAATAAGCTCACTATTAGTCATGGGTCCTTCTGTCCACAATGACTAAATTATTCTGAGAAATCACTTCCTCATAGACAGGAAAAATCAATAAAGGACATTCAATTAACAATCAACATTGAATTAATGATCCTCCATATTACTCTTCACGACAGAAACCATTAAACTCCACATCTGAATAACATAAATAATCAATAAGATCATAAATATAAAATATTCAAATCTGTATTCACTAATGGGAAGTTGAATAAATCCGAAAAACAAATAATAATATCCATTAATTTACTCTATTTGCTAAACAGCTATTGTTATTGATATATTTTACAGTCAAATTCTAAATATTTGGAAGCTTAATAGCAATTAGCACTTTAAAGGTACTTTTAATGAATTAGAGCCTTTAGAATTTAAAATAAGATAGATCCATAATTTCAAATAACATAGATAATTTTTATAAGCTTTTTATTTTAACATTGATCTTTGCAAAAATCTCTTTGATGTTTTTATATTTTAGTATAATTTCTTATTAATATTGTTACTTTGTAATTTATAATACTTATAAAAAATACTATAATACAAATATTTATATAAATTAAATGATAGAATTAGAATGGAATTATGAAATGCAAAGGGTGTTTTAATGACATATAATTACATTAATTAATTTAAATAATAAATATGAATATCTTAACACAAAAATAAGTACAAGAAGCATCCGAAACAATATGTAAAGCTCATAATCAAGAATTGATTGCAGTTGATCTAGATTTGTCAGATAAGGCATAAATATAATTCTTTTGTGGTAAATGTTTAGTTGACAAAATTAATAACCATAAAGTGACCACCATTGAGTAATCAAAGGAGAGAATCTAATAAATTAAGATTTAATAAAAAGATATCAAATCTAAAGAGAATCAAGCAAGACTCAACTATTATAAAAACATTTTAGATCAAATTATGAATTTCAAGTAATCAATTGATGATTCTTTGGAGAAGATGTATAAATAAATATAATAATATATATTCCCAATTTAAAAAGAAAAAAAAGAATTATAAGAATGTGAATCATAACTAAATTACTTTGAGGATATAAAATAATTATCTGAATTGTATTCTTAAGAATAATAGAAATCCCCAAAATTAATAGAGGATAATCATTTTGTTAATGAAATACAAAGACAATTTGAACTTTTATTTAATAACTCTGAATACTTTTAGACATTAGATACATTTAAGAGTACAAAAGAAAAAATTAAAGACATTATGGAAAATAATGTAATTGAATTAATTCCTTAATTTATAGTAAAAAATGATTCGGTATCTTAAATATAATATAAATAGAAAACACCAAGTTTAAGTAGAATTTGTAATAATCATAAAAAGGAAATAATTATGATTGATATGGACTCTTAAGAGAAAAAAATTGAAGATAGATTTGTATGTGTTGATTGCATTTCTGAGAATCCGAATACAAAGTATTAAACAATTGAAAATGTTGATAAATAATGGAAGGATTATAACACAGAAACTGATAGGATTTTAAAGGAATACAAAAATGAAAGCAAAGAAAAAAAATCTGAATTATTTAACTAAATAGCATTAATGAGAAAAAATTACAATAAAAAATTGAATGAAATAAGTGATAAATT